CCCAGACTATTTAACTCATTAATCATTAACTACTCAATCATAATTAGTTAACCATCATCAAAAGGAGTAACTATAGTGTTTATAAATATGGTGGCTAATCAAGTACGTCTGGCAAATCAAGCCATTCATTACTGATTTGCCGATTCAAAGTTCAAAAGATTGAGATCACCACCTCTACCCTTGCCCCCTCTATCTTGGGGTTTTGTCGGAAACTTCGTCAGGTGCTTAGCCTCTCACCTTTTGCCGTGAAGAAAATTCTCATTCTCAGGCCTAAATATAAATGACGTGATAGCCACATGGGATAACGGTGGAGAGTTCCCAAAAGGTCTTCATTCTCCCATGATTTCGACGTCTAAACGAAGTTTCATGAGTTTCCCAGGTAATTCGGCATTAATCACTCCCGTTTTTGGAACGCGCTTCCGCACCCGACTTAATTCAGAATTGTAGTGGCGTATTGAATGCGTACGTCGTTAATCATGGCTCTCGGTCTCCAACCCACGTACAAGCCCTTATTTTCGTCCATCTAGCGAGTCTGCTAATAATTGATGTACTAGGAGGGGTGGTTGAATCGGTGTGCCCAGGCGGGTATCCACTCAGGATTCGATTCTTGGACCAGACATATGTACCTGTGAGAGTGAGCACCGTTTGGCACTACACCATCTCCCTCCTTGTGGACCTCCATGCAATGGCGTTTGCTGTTTTGACCGATTTTGGCCCTTAGATGGGATAACCACTCTGGAAAATTGGGAAACTGGTTCAAGCGTAAGGGATTGTCATAAGGTCAGGAATTCAAATACCTTCAGAAAGATAGTAACTATGTGAGCAGGTTAATGGGTAAAGTAGATGAAGGGAAACTAATCAATGCAAGGTGAATTATATGAGAGTTGATTATCAAAAAATTATTTTTATCTATTTAAGGGAGGCAGCATCTTCGTCTCAAGTTTCACCCTCACTGTAATCGCTTTGGATCGATGTCTATTGATTTTGAAGCCAAATAAAGAGGTCAGTTTTAATTGTAAGTTTTCAAAAAGGATCTGGAGTGCCTTCGACAAGTCTCAAGTAACCTGATGAAAAAATTGAACCCCTTTTCTTTTCATGCATCTGTTTAAATATGTACTTTCAGATAATTGGCTACAATCGAGCGGTGGCAATCGTTGTAGCGATATGGATTACTGGTTATGCTCTAGCCCTACCTGTCGGTATTTTCTCGAGAGCTATTAGTTATGGAGAGATCTGTGGTGTCTTCTGCGAAGAAATATGGTTTGTTTATATAGAAAATCAACTCACTAATTAACGTAGATCTGTGAATGGGAGCAAATTCGAAGCTCTCAGAACAACCATTATTTCGAGCTTGATCAACATTTGATTCCATGTGTTTATGCATTTTCATAAGCTTCTATCAACGGCAGTTGGATTCAGAGACATGTACTGAGTGACTTACGCCCTGTGGTTTGTAGATAGACCGAAGTCCATAAGGCTCGTTTACTGTCACGAACAGGGTAAGGGTGATGTTCAAAGGGCAGTTAGGTATAGCTAGATGCAGTGTGCATCCGAATGATGAAAAGAAATGTTTATGACGTAGGATCAAGGCGGTGGTAGTCCAACAGGGCGAAAGTACCATCCGCTGTCCCCGTGGCTCCGTTCTGGCAATAAGAACAGTATGTCTCAAGAAATTTCCTGCCCGTTCCTCAGATCCAGAGCATCATATTGATAACTCCTTCAGTGGGTACTCTGGTGTTTCAGGATCTTCCGAATAAAGTCATTATGGGATTTACACCTTAAGTACTTCTCAGTTTAACTTGTCATATTTCAGGCCCGATGCAATGGAAACAGGCCATTCAGCTGGTCGTCGTCTCTATGGTCTTTCTGTGCTCCTGTCACAATTCGGTGTACCGGCTCTAATATCTTCCGTTTGCTATTGGCTTATCAGTCGAGTAATGTCCTCACAATTGGAGCGACGTCGAGGTCATACTCTTCT